CTTGTTGCACTGAGAATTATGCTTTCAACACACAAGCTTCTGGGGGGGACATTTCAGATCCAAGCCATAACACAGGATTCACAATTCCCAATTTCAAAATGTACTACAAAGGTACAGTTATCCAGACAGTGTGGTACTGGCATAATGATAGGTAATGACAGACATATAGGTCAGTGGAATAAAACTGAGAGTCCAGATATAAACCCTTATATTTATATTGAATTGTTTTGACAAGTATGCCAATACAAGAGGAAAAAGATTAATCTTCTCAAGACTGGGTAAAGTAAATATCTCCATGCAAAATAATGAAGTTAGACCCCTAACCAACAACAAAGATTAACTAAAAATAAATCAAATATCCAATTAAGAGCCAGCATCAGGTCAAATATACATGTAAACCCAACCTCAGAATTACATTTCAGCAGGAAACCAAGTAGGTATAAATGCTAATTTTCTGGTTTGATTTCTTTCTGCTGGGCAATTAGCAAAGAGTTCTATGCACACAGCAAGTTAATTTTTTGGAGTTCCTAACCTTTTCTTTTTTGTTTTTTGTAGAGTACTAGGGATTGAACTCAGAGGTGTACTTTATCATTGAGCCATATCCCCAAGCCCTTTTTATATTTTATTTTGAGGCAGGGTCTTGCTAAATTGCTTAGGCCCTCACTAAGTGCTAAGACTGACCTTGGACTTGAGATTCTACTGTCTCAGCCTCTTAAGTCTCTAGATTACAGCTGTGCACCACCACACTCAGCTCCCAACCTTTATATCCTACTCACAGGAACCTATGCATAGCCCTGCATAGTCATTTACCTAATCTATTCAAATGCAGATTGGAATGAGAAATTCTAAAGAAGTAATTCCCACTAGAATAAAGAGAGAATACAGAAAGGTGTCACTCTCTACTTTCTAAGTCTTTTTCCAGTAAGAGTGGGCTGGGGATATGGCTCAGTTTTGGAGTGTTGCTTAGCATTCATAAGGCCCTGGGTTTGATCCCCAGCACCACAAAGAAAAGTTTTCTCAGAAGCAAATTATTTTTCCCATCTTAGATGGGCAATGCTCATCTCTGCTTGTCCAGCATGTAAACAGTTATCTGTAACAGTTGGAAGACACATGGATTTGGCCCATGGAGATAGTAATTCCTCTTAAGTGACAAGGGGCAAAGCTTCTGATGAGATAACTGGTGAACTATCAGTCACATGCTGAGAGTCCCTTGAAATGTTAAGTTGCCTCCACACTCCCTTGCACAGACCAGCTCAAACAGAGACTGAATTACCAAAATAGAGAAAAGATTAACATAAGGTCTTTTGGAAAATTCTCAATAACAACAATGGATCTTTCAAAAGCACACACACCATGAAAGAGGAGAGAGAAGTGGCCTGTAACTCTTCAGCATTCAGGGTAAATGTGCTAGTCACCACTGTGGCTCACTAAACATGTTCTTAGGGAAGACAAAAGGATGTCACACACTTTTCTTTACCATCAAAAACAATACCATCTGAGTCACCTCTTACCTTTTCATTTTCATCTCCTTGTGTTTAGCAGATCCGTAAACACACCTATTCTTGCTTATATTCTTGAAAACATCTTTTACAATCTCCTTATTGGCTTCCTTCTTGGACTGTGCAGGTTGACTTTGAGAAGCCTATAAAAAATGGGAGGAGCAGACCAGAAATTGAAGAGAACCACGACTTACCCAATAAGTGATTCTTATAAGAAAGTCTGGACCCACATCTCCATCCTGAACAACTGTGTGTTCCCAGGAGTGATAATCCAAATATCTTACAACCGATAACAGTGGAAGCCAGCAGGAAAAAAAATCAGTATAAAGTACTAGTATATATTAGCTAAGTAGAACCCTAAATGCTGCTATTCCATGGAATATGAGATATAATTTTGATCACCATGCCAGGCATACTGACTGGCAAATAACTGAAAAAATTTTTTGTTAATATCACATTCTACTTTGACCTGAAAAGATGTTCAAAGGAGAAAAATGGCTTTTCTGTCTGGATATGCCAAGACCAACGAATTTGGGGGGATAGATCTCTAACACAACACTACCTGTGATAAAACTATCCTGTCTCATTTAGTGACGTTTATTTAACATGGGATTCACAAGAGTTTGACCAGACTCTAATCCTGACAAACTCTATTAAACAATATGAAAAATTATGGAATTACGAATAATGTCAGGAAAAATAAACTTAAAAATTACAGTTTTGAAATGAAATAAATGAACTTAATTTGAATAAATACTATAATCACATTAAAGGAAAAAGGAAGAGAAAATCAAAGTCAAGAAAAAAACAATTCAACTATATACCCTCAAAGTATATATTCTCAGTCAGGATGGTTTGTGGAGAATGGATATAACAAATAAATCTGAAACTTTTCAGTGGGCTATCTTTATTACAGAGGTATAAATGAAATAATGTTGAAACTCTTGGTTATATTACAGTATTGATTAAACATGTTGATATTCTTAGAAACTCAGGTTACTGTAAAAGAAGGAATATACAAATATGAATCAGGGAATACAAAAATCTGTGTATTAGAATTAGAGTTGTGAAAATTCATGAATTCTCAAAGTAAGTATGTGTCTGTATATTGGTCGTATATCTGTATATATATATATAGCTATACATGTGCTTAAATACACTTATTTGTGGGTTTGTGTGTTATTTCAGTTTTTTCACCTCTGTGACCAAAAGACCTGACAAGAATAACAAACAGAAGGAAAAGTTAATTTACGGCCCATATTTTCAGAGGTCTCCTCAGTTCCACAAAAGTTTGACTGTGTTACTCTGGGCCCAAGGTAAAGCAGAACATCATGGCAGAAAGGTGTGGAAGAGAAGAGCAGCTCAGGACATGACAATCAGGAAGCAGATAGAAAGCTCTGCTCACCAGGGACAAACTATAACCCCCAAAGGCATGCCCCCAGTGACCTACCTCCTCTACCAACACCTTTCTTGCCTATAGTTACAGCCCAATTAATCCATATCAGTAGATTAATGCACTGATTAAGTTAAAGCTCTCATGACTCAATCATTTTACCTATAAACTTCCTTGCATTGTCTCACAATGAGCTTTTAGGGGACACCATATATCCAAACCATAACATGTGTACAGAAATTTCTTACCTCTGTCTTCTGGAAGAGCAGAAAAAGCAAATATCCCAGTAACACACGTAGTACTGAGACCTTGGTATCTAATACCACTTCCATTGAGAGAAACCAGAACTCTTTGGAGAAATGGTTTGCTATAGGGCTGGGGACAGAGTTGGAGTAAGATGAGCTTGGAACATCTTGTTTATGTTAGAAAGAAAATGCTCAAAAAATATTGAAAGCATGTCACAAGGACAGAGTAATAAAATTGCAAGGACTCCTACTGGAAAAATCTAAAACAATTTGAGCACTAAAATAAAGTATAGTGAACAATGAACCACTGAAAACAACAGGAATTGATGAGCCCACACCAATAATTACAGGGGAGAAGGGAAGGCTCAAGCTTGTAGCAGAATGCCAGGGAAAGACTGGTAAATGAGGAGTGAGTGCTGGAGTAAGAAAAATCATAATAAAGATTAATTTAGGCAGAAATCATCAAGGATGGTGTCCCACCTAGGGGACATTTTGATGAAGAGCAGATTATTTGCAAGCTCTTAAGAATATGTCCTACAGACTACTTATTAGTTGCAAGAGGAAAAAAATAAACAATAATTATGCAGGGGAGAAATCAGGCAACAGCTTAACCAGGTGATCAAAATAACATTAGCAGCTGGTCACAGTAGCACATGCCTAGAATTGCAGCTACCCGGAAGTATAAGGCAGGGGAATTACAAGTTTGAGGCCAACCTCAGCAATGTAGAAAGACCCTATCTCAAATAAAAAAAGGGGGCTTGGGATGTAGCTCAATTGGTAGAGCACCCCTGGGTCCAATTCCCAATACCACAAAAATAAATAAATAAGTAAATAAATAACATTACCAATGAAAGGCCAATAGGCAGCATGTGCTTAAGATGTGATTCTACGAGGACAGTACATCACCTGCACAACATTTTAGCCAACAATGTATAACATCAATCTAATCACAAGAAAAATAATCTGACAAATACAAAATGAGGACTGCTCTTTTTTTGAAGAGGGGAGTTGGGTGTGACTGTATCTTTCATAAGTGGTAATATTATTAAAGAACAAGGCTATGGAAATGTCCCAGATAAGAGGCTAAAAACACAAAGTAATGTAATATGTGATCCTAGACTGGATCCTTTACTGGAGGGGGAAAATGTCATCAAGGATATTTATAGGCCAACTGACAAAACTGGAATATGGATGACTGATTACATAAAAGTGCTGTATCATGTAAATGTATAACTATAGTGCTATTCAATATGAATATAAATTTATCAATATGAATTGATAACTGTTCTGTGGTTGTATAAGACAATTTACCTATTCTTAGGAAATAAAGACTTAAGTCATTAGGGATAAAGGGCCTTGTTCCCCACTCTGCCTCCTACAAGGAAGTCCTAGAGTGTATAGGGTAATGTATAGGGATGTTTGTTGCACTATTTTTTTATTTCTACAACACTGTAAATTTAAATTTATTTCCAAATGAACAGTAGAAAAAAAGAGTGCCTCTGTATGATTAGATCATAATAAGCAACTACAAATCAGTAGGAAATTCTTTCTTAATACCTCAGGTTATCCACCTCTGGCTTCATTTCCCACTGACAAATACAAAATGAGGACTGCTCTTTTTTTGAAGAGGGGAGTTTTCATTTAATTTCACCTAGAGTTTTCCAAAGTACTCATATGTGCAATCAAGATTCAGAATGGGATAGTAGGTGCATTTTTGGCAGAAGAGAGGTGGAGACCCTAACCCCCAAGGTGGAACCCTTCTATCTGCCATATGTGCAGATTCAAAGCATTGTTACTTTCAGACCTAAGCTTAAGGGGACCTTTACCTATACTTCTTCATAATATGAAACGAGAGAATAGAGATGAAAATCCTATTGTCACAAAACCATTTAGGCAAATGGTTTATAGATATAGGCCCCATCTCCTTGTCTACTAGCTTAGCACCAGTTCTAACGTATCAAAAATTCTTCCCATGCTAAAAATGATAAAGGAGATGGAAAGAAAAACTCAGTTTATTAAAGAATCAAAACAGATCAATTCTAGTTGTCAGGCAAGGACCTGACTATAGCAAATGTTGAAAAGATGACAGAGATAGGGACATGGAAATCTAGTACTATTGAAAGGAAGAAGCAAATTACCAGATAGGGAATCCCTAAAACTCACAGCCCTCAAACCTAAAATTGATAAGTTCAGACATCTGTAGACTCTAGACCCTAGGAATAGCTTAGGTACATTATATTGGTGGAACTTTCTGTGGAAAGCACCAAAGATCATTCAAGGTGACCAAAACAATCTTTAGAACTTTAGCCAGGTGTGGTGGCACATGATAGAAGAGAAATGGGCTTACTGAGCTTCTGGAAAGCTACAGGCAGAGATGCTGCTTTGGGATGCCTTGTTCCCCACTTTCTGCCCCCTATAAGGAAGTCCTGCATATCTACATGGATTTCCTATTATTGGTACAATTCGTTTGTGTCTGTTATTTCTGAATGGTGAAATAAACGTCATGGGAAAAAGGACTGAGACTTGGCAAGAATGTTGGTCTCTCACATGCTTTGAGACTACTATGATCTGAATAGCTGTGCCTGCACCTCAACTCATATGTTGAAACCTAATCCCCAATGTGGTAATATTAGGAGATGGGGCCTTTTGGGCAGTGATTAAGTCATGAGAGGAGAGCTCTCATGAATGGGACTAGTATCCTTATAAAAGAGGCCTAAAGAAGCTTGATTTCCCCACTGGCTTGTGAGGACAGAGCTAGAAAACATCGATCATGAAAAATGAATACTTTATCAGATAACAAATTCACCAGCACCCTGAGTTTGGATTTCCCAGTCTCTAAAACTGTGAGCAATAAATTTTTGTTGTATAAACAACAGGTTACCCAGCTTAAGGTATTTTGTTATAGTAGCCTAAATGGACAAAGACACCTTGGACAGTTCCACTGCATTCCTCCATGGGCTCTGCAGGTAAACGAAAGTTACAAAAAAGATGGACTGCATCTGTGGCTACCTTATTTCAATCAAGTTTCTAGATGTGTGGTTAAATAAGCCATGAAAGAACCTAAATTATAGGTATATGTATGTAAGGGAGCTCTTTCTACCAACTGATAGCAAATCTGAAATTACACAGAAAGCTAACATACATGCTGAAATCTGCAGAGAAAAGACACTGCATTAGTAGAAAGGTGATCACACTGATTCTAAATAGCAGGGATCCAAAGAAAAGAACCTTGCTAAAGCTTATCCTGTCTTGCCCAGTGAGTTAAAGCATCACCTGGTAGATACAGGTATTTTGGCAGCCATAGAAGCACTCTATTATAAGAGGCAAGAATAGTTCACCAGGTTTCTCTATAGCCTGGATGAAATAGACTTCAATGTCAATAATGATAAAGTCCTCATCTGTAAAATAGAGATAATTACAGTATCTACCTCATAGAGTTATATTTAAGTAAGTGGATATAGGAAAAAAGTACTTAAATTATTGCCTAATAAGCACATAGTAAGCATTCAGTAGGCATCAGTTATTACTATTTTCTATGACCAAAGACTATCATTTGTCCTGATTTTATATTCAACTAACAATAGTCTATTAATCATTATTTTTGCTGGTACCTTAATAATACCAGAAGGTAGGTGACTTGGAGGTATACTCAAGAATTCAAATCAAAATTGAGATTCTAGATTTTCATAGTTGAAGACCAGATCTTTGAACTTTGGTTCTCAATGGTTCTGTGGATTCAGGAGGTATTTTTGATTGTCACTATGACTGGGATGATGCTGGAATATAATATCTGGGAGACAGATACGCTGGTTGAGGTCCAGCCTAAACAATAAAAAAAAATTGTCCTGCCCAAAATATCCATAGTGCTTGAATCGATAAATACTACCATAGAATACAATGATTACACCAAAATACTTATCTCCAGAGCCTAGGAAGACAGCTGAGCCACCTCTGGACCTGAGGAAAACACAATATCCCATTGTTTTCATAGTGATCCACAATTTCATATCTGCTAATCACACTATCTGCCACGCCCAGAGAATCCTACCAATTGACCCAAATGGTTTGTATCAGTAGAAGAGCCCCTGCAGTTTGTGAAATTAGGTCATTGATTCCAAATAAAACCCGCTCTTACCATTCCAAAGAGGGTCAGTGTCTAGTAACTGGAAAGATCCTTCAAGGAAGAGGTTATATAAGGCTTGTGCAAAAATCACAGCAAAGAATTGAACTAGTATACTCACATTGGTAAGATCTTCAAAAGCTGATCTCTTTTTGACCATCCCCTGAGGTGAAAATGGAGATATTTTTGCTTGGTGATTCTCCCCCTTCTGAAAAAGAAGAGGTAAATGACATATCCAATTATGAACAGTCTCTTCAGGGACTATGGGTCATCTTCAAGGCTTAGAAAAACTCCAGAATTTCCAAGTAACTAGGGATACATATGATAAGCTGCATAAACTACAGCAAAAGAAAATTTCAGTCCTCAGAGATGCTAGTAGAATCCCAGAAGATAACTGTCACTGATGATGGAGACAAGACTGTGAAGAGACAAGGTAACCTTCAGAGTAACTCTCAGAATGAGGAAATAGCTTGATGAAGCTCATTTTTCCTCTTACTCTTTTCATAATTATGGATATCCTATCCAAGATTAACCACCACCACTCCTAGTCGTTGCTTTAATATTGGTGCTTCCTGGTAACTTAGTTCAATAATCTAACAAATATTTATGTTAAAGTAGCTGATCTAAGACATTTCTAATAAGGATAATAGTGTACATACCTAAATCCTGATTCAGAATCAGCTCTTTACTAACTGCTGACCATAGACAAATCACTTAATCTCTGAGCCTCAATTTTCTTATCAGTAAAATTAGAATGATAACCTACTTGACTAAGTACTTAAGGATCAAAAAAAGAGAATACAGTTTTTTTTTAAGTTTGTATAAAGGGCTGGGGGTGTAGCTCAATGGTAGGGTGTTTTCCTAGCGTGCATACGTTCAATCCCCAGCACCATCAAAAATATTTATATAAACTATAAATGAACATAAATAGCATTTGGGGGGTTATCAGGAATTGAATTCAGGGGCACTTGACCACTGAGCCACATCCCCAGTCCTATAAAAATATGCTGTTGGGGCTGGGGATATAGCTCAGTTGGTAGAGTGTTTGCCTCACATGTACAAGGCCTTGGGTTCAATCCCCAGCACCACAAAAAAAAGTATGCTGTCCAATATGATTATAAACCTCACATGGAAAGATTTATAATTTTAAGAAGAGTTTGGTTAATCAGATTAATCTTTAATAATTGTTAGTGAATATAAGGGAGAAGAAGAAGAGTGACTATTCTAGAGCAGAGGGAGTTTTCTTCCTAGGTATCTATGCAAGAAGTCAGGGCAAGCCATACTACAGGGCTCTTCTATTCCTTAACAGCTTTTGTTTAGTTAATGTCTCCTAGGTCTTAGATTTCCTTTATGAAACTCTGAGAACAACCCTACCTTCTACCTATATGAGACAGTTCTTACAATGTGAAACAGGACCCTAGGATCTGACTCATTTGCTCTGTTCTCCAGGTATGCCAGTAACCATCAGTACATGGCATAGTAAGTGATCAGAAATTTAAAGAATTGGATTCATGATACAACAAACTATTCCAGCACAATGTAACATTCCTTGAAGATCTGAGAAAAATTACTTTTGTTTTCTAACTGATTAAGCTGAGAAATAAGTAAAGTATTAGTCTTTTATCTTATTCATGATAAATAATCTTAGTAGAAATTATTAGCAAAAAAACTAAATATTATTTTCTCACAAATTAGATGAGAAATAAAATGTCAGGCTATTATCCAATTCCTACTTAGTATTACTGGTAGAAATAATCAGTACAACAGTAGAAACTGAGCCTAATAGAACTTAGATTTGCAAAAATGTGCTCCAAGAAAGTTTGGTTTGGAGAAATAACTGCCACAAAAGAAACTTAAAATGGCAGATATCCTATAAGAAAAATGGATATAGACAAAATCTTGACCAATATAACAAATCTTTCCTGATAAATTTACATGGAATAAAACTGAACCCTCTGTGAAAATCATTTTAATAAGAAAAGTGAAAATGATTAGCAAATGTTTATGTGCACTGAGAGAAATCAATCAAGAAAATTAAATTGGCCTAATTATGTTTGCTCTAGGAAATATTCTCTTGATGACAGTTCATCAGTGTCAATATAATTCTGATTAAAATATATGTGATGATGAACATAGAACATATCAGGGTCAGAATAACAATGTCAGACTATCTTAAATGTCAAAACATCAGAGTTAAACTGTACCCACATTCTTCAAATGTGATGCTCAACCTGTTTCTATAAAAAGCATGGTAACACATTTGCTGATATAATCTTCATACTCTTTCCAGGATGTACAGCCTCCTGGCAAGTTGCTTAGAACTTCTCAGAGAAAGAGTATAGACAACTTCACTAATGAGAAATGAATATTGTTTGGTTTTGAAAATTGTGGAGTGAGGCCTTCATGTGAATCATATATTTATGAGAAAGAACTTTCTCCCCAGGTTCTAACTTGCTGGTATTATCCATCTTTTAAGGGCTTCCAACCCTCACCACTTTCTCAGATTAATCAGAAATATTCTAAAAGATTTGGGGTAAAAATAGTACTGAGCTAATACAAAGACTATGTGAGAAAAAAAATGACTTGTTCTAACCTTGTTGGAGAGGTCATGATCACAGGGCACAATTTTGCCAGACTGAAATTTCTTTGTTTCAGGTTTGGAGCTTTGTCGTAGTAGTGGCAGTGGCATCTTGTACAAGACAGGGCTGTAATCAGAAAGGGATTCTTTAAATCACCATTCACCAGAAACATCACAGAATTCTCTGGAAACTCTTTAAAAAACTCAGTCTCTCTATAGCATCGCGAGGAGAAAACATACTTTGAAGTTGCTTAGATCTGGGATTAAATCTTGGTTCGATCACAATTAAGCTTGGGTAAGCTACTTAAAACTCCCTGGGTTTCAGTGACCTCATCTATAAAATGAAAATATGCATATCTACCTCTAAAGCGTTGTTCAAATTAAATGAGATACTCTATATAAAAAGCCCAGCATAATGTCTCCCATCCTCTGGAGGCACTCAGCCTATGACTTCGCCCATCATACAGGCTTATAAATACTGGGAATAAATTATATGAGAGTTTTGAGTTGAAAACAATCAAGTCCAAAGTAGCTCATATGGTCTGGAGATAAGCTGATAGATTTAATGTTCTTTAATAAGTCATGGGGTCCTGGCCACAACAGTTAATAGAGAAGTCAAGCCGATGTCCACACACATTATGCATGACAGAGCAGACAGTATTCAGAGGCTGCATTTAATCAGAAGAAACTCTTATCCAATCCTAGACACCTGGTAGGAAAAAAAATTCAAAAGATGAGATAGCAAAAGAAGTGAAATTATTGAAAATCATTTCTCATAAGAATTTAACAGTCATTATAACCCAGAGGAGAGTCCTTTTCCCATCTCAGTATGAGACCCCACTTTATCTCCTTAAAGGTTCTTTTAGTTTGTGAGTCCTCAATAATGAGAGAGAGAGAGAGAGAGAGAGAGAGAGAGAGAGAAAGAAACAAGTAAATACATTATTATTAAAAGCAATCATTGTTTGGATACACAAGAGACCATTTCTGCTTAGATACAAATGTCCTTGCAATTCCACCCACATTCAATTTCCAAGTTCATTTAACAAAAAATAAACTTTCCTAAGAAAGACCCCCAAAGGCAATGCAACAAACTTACCACTATGTAACAGTAGCTTTAGGAAAGAGATGCAAACAGAAATAAATTGTGCAATTTACCCTTGAGGTATTTACATGCACAACTCTTAACATTAGCATAAAAATGTAGCAAATGATTTAATAAAGGCAGTTACTTCTTATGGACTGAATGCTTGTCTGCCCCCTCCAAAAAATTCATATTGATATTCTAACCACCCCCCATTTGATGGTATTAGATGGGACCTGTAGGAGGTGATTAGTTGATATGTTTATTGTTGAAGCTGTTCAGTCTGTGCATTTTGTCATGGCAGCCTGAACAAACACAGTACTATAAATAGGTAATGGAAAGTCAGGAGATGGGGAAGGCTTCATGGAGGAGATAACAGTTGATCTGGACTTAAATGACAAAGAGGTTCCCAAGTAGACTTCCAGGCAAAAAAAGCTCAAGCCCAGCAGAGCTGTTGAATATGCAGAGTTCAGTGACATCTCACTTGTCTCAGAGTACTGAATATAAAGAGTATGTTAGGGGAGGGGGACTTAGGGATTGTAGCTCAGTGGTAGAACACCTGCCCAACATGTGCAAGACCTGAATTCAATCCTCGGTACCTTAAAAAAATAGGAAAAGAAAGAATATGTTGGGGCCTGGTTAGAATGAAATTGATATGCTAGGTGAGGGCCAAGCTAGTTAAGAAAGGAAGCAGTTAATAAGTGAAGTCAGCTAATCCCCGCAAAAAAACAAATGCCAAATGTTTTCTCTGATATAAAGAGGTTAACTCATAGTGGGGTAGGGAGGGAGAGCATGGGAGGAATAGATGAATTCTAGATAGGGAAGAGGGGTGGGAGGGGAAGGGAGGGGGCAAGGGATTAGCAAGGATGGTGGAATGTGATGGACATCTTTATACAAAGTACATGTATGAAGACTTGAATTGGGTGTCAACATACTTTATATACAGAGATAGAAAACTTGTGGTATATATGTGTATTAAGAATTGTAACACCAAAAAAAACAAAGTACATGTATAAGTACATGTATAAAGGCATAAATTGGCGTGAACATACTTTATATACAGAGATATGAAAAATTATGTCCTATATGTGTAATAAGAATTGTAATGCATTCCACTGCTGTCATGTAGTTAAAAAAAATTTAAAAAAGAAAGGAAGCAGTTAAGACTATAGCTTGGGAGGAAACCTAAGAAAGGATGAAGGCTGATTTGGGTTTTGCTTTGGATGGAGAATATTAAATATTTTGTAGGTGAGGAAAGGCCAACACAAGTATGCCTTGACATTTTATTTCAGTTAAACATAATAAAACAATGAGATTAAGCAGAGCAGGTACAACTCTCCACTTTATAGCCCCAGATAAGTTACGTGGCTTATTACCCAAGACAAACTATTAAGCAGTATAAATTATTCAGCTCCTTCTAGGGCTCTTTGTAAAATACCATGAAGTCTCTCAGATCACATTAAAAACATTCCAAAAAAGCTAAAGGCTGTAGTGATGGGAAGTAAAACTGGCACAGGTTTTGGAGTCTGAGCAATATAACTTCTACATCAGCTAACTTAACATCTCTGATTCCTCATTTGCAAGACAACTATAATACCACTTAAAGAGGAGGCATACAGATCAAATATAAATCTGTATTACAAAGCACACATGGTAGGTATGTAATAAATAGAGCATCTTACTCTCCTATTGCCTTGGATCCAAATCTATTTTCCATCTCATCCCTCAAAACTCAGCCAAGCAACAATAAAGCAAAATTGGGTGCACCCACGCTTAACTACACTTTATGAAAACCACGATTATTATTCATGCCTTATACATTTTTTTTTTATGGATGACCAAAAACTCATGCTCTGAAACCTTTATCTTTCCAGGGGAAAGAATAAATCTGGAATCAACAGGCTAGAAAAACCTCAGCTGATATTACAGACTGAACCTCAGAGAAAATAAGGATATTCAGATAATGGTCAAATGCTACATTCATTGTCCTGAACTCTAATAACTTGAAGATAAATACAATGACCTATAAACTAACTTCCCTGCCATTAAGGGTAAAGAGAGGAGGAGGGGAGGACTAATACCACCAAAAACATTCTTTTATAAAAGGACATTTTCCACTTGCACCACAAACACAATCCTGAGCTTTACTTGGTCAAGAAAATTAGAATCCTTTCCCCTTTTCAGACTTTCCATCTCCCCTATATACACACTGATAATTGTTAGAGACAGTATTGGGCATCCTAGGGCTGGTGCTGAAACCTACACAAGGCAGCAGTGAAGTTGAGCAAAATAGTCTCAAGGAAGGAGTAGCAGCTTCATTTTACATGTAAAGGCAGGTTACATACAGCAAGGCACTGGAGAGAGAACACAGCAAGGTTTCAATGAAAACAGCTGAAAGGCCAAGTGCAGAGGTGCACACCTATAATCCCAGCAGCTTTGAGGCTGAGGCAGGAGGATCACAAGTTCAAAGCCAGCCTCAGCAACTTAGCAAGAACCTGTCACAAAATAAAAAATAAAAAGGGCTGGGGATATGGCTCTGTGGTTAGGCCACCCCTCCCCAGTTTAAAAAAAAAGTCAGCTGAAAAGAGCACTGGGCTAGGAAGGATGCATAGGGTCTAGTTCTAGCTGGGTGGCACTGGGCAACGTGGGCCTCAATTTCCTCACCTAATAAAATCAGGCAATGGGACCAGAGCTTATTCCATATTCAAAGTGTGGTCAATGGATGAGCAACATTAGCATCACCTGGGAACCTGTCAGCAATTTAAAATTTAAAACCTCAGGTCCCAAGCTAAACCTTCCAAATCCCAAATTAACAATATGCCCAGGTGATCTGCATACTACTTAAAGTTTAAGAGGTAATGGTTTAAGGGTCCACCTCAGACGTTCTAGAATTCTAAATGGACCTTAGTGGAAGGGGCAGGGGGTGGGCAGGCAAGCCAGAACTTAAGTGTGTTGGAGACAGGATAGAAAAGAGCCAGTGGAAATAAAAGGTATAACAGAGAGGGCATGTTTCTATCCTCTCTTCATGTCCTTCAACCTGTAGTTTAAAAGACATCCTTAAAGTAATATTCTCCAAGTTAAAAATGCATCTGATCCCACAAGCACTTGTGAAATGAAATTGATCCTGCACACTTTCACTTGTGAAAGATGTTTTGTAAAAAGTACTCTGGTTCAGGCATGTATACTGGTCACTCCATCTAAAAGCTGGGACCCAGACTCCCTTGCTTTGTCATCTTACCCCCTTGTCCACACTCCTTGCCCAACCTTGTAGTAGTTTTTCAGACTGCTGAGTGATGGGAGGAGACTTTTTGTTGCTGGGACGCTGCATATCCCAGCACATGTAACAAGGGGGTGGAGTGACGCCCAAGGATCCACCGGCAGGAGTCAGGAGACAAAGTCAGACACTCCAGCTGGCAGTACAATCCCAAAGGTGCCTACCTCACACCGCGACTGAGGACAGAACAGGAGAGGCGAGGGAAATATATAGAGGTCCGTGTCTTACCGGCACAAGTCCATCTCAGCCTGGCCTGTGCTCTTTCCAATTGGCCCACAGATTTTGAAAACTGTAGCCCAAGGAGGAAGCACAGTTGTGATTGGCCAGCAGGGGGCCAATCAGCGTGCACAGCTAAGATGCTCCCTCCCACTAGCAAGGAACGGGTGGGGGCCGAGTATTTTTCAATGGAACTCCGGAGCTAAAGGACTTCGTGTTGGGGTGTGGTTTCCAGTGTAATTAGTCAGTCCAGCTAGGCTTGCAGGCGGGGAGTAATGGGTTTCACCAAAGACACGTTTACATTTAAATAATCCTCTCCGAGGAAGGCGAGAGGAGAGCAGCCAGATGGTGTCGTTTCAAACAAACTAAAATATGAATATTAATAACCCCTTACAGAGTCAAACATTAACTCCTGCAGGCTTCAGAAATGGCCTTATAAAAGAAGCAAGTCAGAAGTTATTGCCCCTATTTTATAAACGGACACTCCAAGTGCAGGGAGCTAATGAAGTTAAGATTAATTCAGGAGTAGCTCTGTGGTAATTGCTGTAAACATTTTATTGCTTTAAATTCTGTCCAGAAAAGATAGGTACTTTTTAAGTTGCCAATTTACATATGATAAAATTGTAGCTTGTTAACTGCCCGATATCACAAAGCTGCATTGTGGCAGGGCAGCTACTATAACCCAGATATTCTTTTTTTTTTTTTAAATTTATACATTAATTTAGTTGTTTAAAAAATATTTAATGAGCACCTACTTTGTGCCAGGAACTAGAAGATTATATGAGGAACAGACTATAGGGTATTGATTTAACATTTGAGCTAGCACCCCCAGAGCCTATCCCATAGCGCCACAGCTACAACCCCTACTCCTACCCGACAGAAGCTGACAGAACATTTCGGGGCCTCTCTCCATCTATGGAAAGATGACCTTTATTTGTGAGCTCTGACAAATAAGCTCTTGTGTGAATCTCTGCCTGGTCTGGTTATAATGGTCTTTCGTTTCTCCCTCATCTGTCTCCTGGTTCCTCCCTTTCCTTTCACTGACAAAAGACTTGCAGAATTTATAATGCTGCCCTTCCTCTGTGGAGGCAAAAAGAAAGTGTAGATGCTAGGGATAAAATCTAGGATTTCCTGCATATGTAGCAGGCACTCTACCACTGAACTACATCCCTAACTTTATTATTAGCCCATTCTCTTTTTAATCTCTTATAGCATCCACATTAAAGATATTCATAGCATCCCAGGCCCTCTTCTTTTTAAAAATCTCCCTGGGTTATCTCATTGAGATCCATGACTTAAAACAGCATCTAAAAGTTGGCCCTAAACTTCAGGCTCACAAATCCAATGACTATTCCACATCTCCACTTGGACATGTAAGAGAAACTTCAAACACCACATGTTCACATTAGAACTCATAATTATCAATCCTCTCCCCAAACCTAATCCTTCCCCCAACGTCCCTATTTCAAAAATTGATACCACATCAAAAACTGCTACTCAGTCATAAAGAACCATTCAAATAAAAATTAATAGATAAGCGAAAGGAAATCTTGTAGAGGAAGGAGAAGGAGGGGGAGGGCAGCAGGGAAAGAGGGGACCAGCAACTGAAATACATTTCCATGCATGTATGAGTCTCTTGAAATGAACCAACTACTGTGTATAACCATAAAACACTAATAAAAAATTAAAAATTTAAAAAAGGGAAAAATTTTTTAAAAATAAAATGAAGACTGTATTAAATAATATAAGAAAAGCAAAAAAAAAAAAAAAACCTATTGACTTCAACTCAAACTTGTTTCCATCCCCTTACACTCCTATTCATAAATCCTTCACCAAGTCCAGTTGATTCTACCTCAAAATACATCTTATACCCATCTATTTCTTTCCATCTCCATTACCACTGAGTCTCTCATTTGTCTGTCAACAACCTCCCAACTGCTCTCTGTGTTTCTCTAATACAAAAGCAACGTAATAACAAGAGCAACTTTTGAGAAAAAGAAAAATAGTTCCATGTCCCTCCTTTACTTCTGTGTGGCTTCCCACAGAACTTAAAACCCAAACTCCTTCTCCTGGTCTACAAGGTTCCTCCCTACTACATGAACCTCATCTCATAACACTTCCTTTCTCATTTCACTCCACTTTGGTTATAATGATCTTCTTTCAAAGTTTTTAGTATACCAAACTCCCTCTCCTTGGGCTCTTTGCATATGATGTTCCTCCTGCCTGGAATATTTTCTCTCCATTTTTTATTTTATTATTTTTTTTAAATTTTTTTAATATTTATTTTTTAGTTGTAACTGGACACGATATCTTCATTTTACTTATTTATTTTTATGTGGTGCTTAGGATTGAACCCAGGGCCTCACACATGCTAGACGAGCACTCTACCACTGAGATACAACCCCAGCCCCTCCATTTTTAAAACCACTAGCTTTTTCTCAAGGTTCTACTCTCAGCTTTAAACATTCCCTCTTCAGAGATGCCTTCCCTGACCATGTTATCTAAAAGAAGATTCTCCTCCCACTGTGTTGTGATACTCTATCTCAGTCCCTTAACTTTTTTAGAGTAATCATTACTTTTATTTATATTTTTAAATCTATCTCCTCACTCAAGAATGCAAAGTCCAAAATGGCACAGACCATATGTATTGTGCCAATGATTAGCACTAATGAGTTGCTAATTTTATTCTTAACACTATTCTAATACACTGAGCAATTCTATGAGGTATTAATATCCCTATTTTGTAGATGAAGAACATGAAGCACAGAAAAGTTTAGTAACTTGCCCAAGATCACACAGCCAGTAAGTGATTGGTTTAGGATTTAAAAACAAGCTGTCTTATTCCAGAGACCAAACACATAATAACCATGACCCCTATACCTTCATCCTTAATATATACTTGGAAAATTTTGTAAACTAAGTAAATATGTGCCTCAAAACTGTGGACCAGTGTTCCAATGGGATGCACTATAAAGGCAAAGCAAGTTTAATATAAATTCACTATAAGTCTTCTTCTCTAGTCAAGAGAGGGAAAGGTTCATCCAGCAACCAAAAGCAATACAAAAATCACCAAAAAAGTAATTTCATTTTCCTATTACTTCCTAGCTTTTTATAAAAACAAAAATGTTACTGAGTAAAAGTGGTGATTTTCCACAACTTTTTAAATTTATTTTTCCCTCAGCCTTCACACCTCCAGTTGCCTTAACCTTTCCTTTATGTAGCATCCAAAAAGAACACTGAGAAAAGAGGAGACAGCCACTTGACTCCACCATTTTCCAGTATCTCCCTCTTTCCAGGTATACAACATTCTTATAAACTTCCCTTTCTCTTCTTCCGTATATCCCTATACCAAAATCTGATTTAAAAAAAAAATCGATTAGGGCTGGAGTTGTAGCTCAGTGATAGAGCACCTGCCCCGAATGAGGCCCTGGGTTCGATCCTCAACATAATAATAAATAAATAAATAAATAAATAAATAAAAATAAAGATAAAATCTATTATTATCTATTTCACTTTGACATGAAAATATATTCCAGATGGATACAAAACTTAAATGGGAAAATGAAACCTTGGAAATACTAGACAAAATATAAAATAATGCCAGGCAAAGTAGCACACATCTATAATCCCAGCCACTTGGGAGGCTAATGCAGGAGAACGGCAAGATCAAGGTCAGCCTCAGTAACTCAGCAAGACCCTGCCTGGAATTTAAAAATAAAAAGTAGTGGAGATGTAGCTCACTGGCAGAACACTCCTGGATTCAATCCCAAGTACCAAAAATTAATTAATTAATTATATTTGTATAATCTCAAGGGAAAGCCCTTTCTAAATTTACAGAATGAAGATTTCAGTATATTAAAATTTTTAAATTTCTGTTTGGTAAAAAAAATGTTTAAAAATCTAACAAGAAACTGGAAAATACATTGGCAATATAAATGACAAAAGAATAATTTTCAAAATGTACAATGAGAACTCTATGTTCAATAAGAAAAAGATGAACTAACTACCCATCCAAAGAATTGGTATGAGGGCTGGGGTTGTGGCTTAGTGGTAGACCACTTGCCTAAGTACATATGAGACACTGGGTTTGATATGCAGCACTACATAATAAATAAAGTTATTATGACCATCTACAACTAAAAATAGTAAAAAAAAGAAAGAAAGAAAGAAAAGAAAAAAGAAGTGGCACGAGACAATGTGGTGGTGTGTGCCTGTAATCCCAGTGACTCACGAGGCTGAGGCACAAGGATCTCAAGTTTGAGACCAGCCTCAGCAACTTAGCCAGGCCCTAAGTAACTTAGCAAGACCCCGTCTCAAAATAAAAAATAAAAAGGGCTGGGGATGTGGCATCATGGTTAAGTGCCTCTGTGTTCAATCCCTGGTACCAAAAAAAAAAAAAAAATAGTTGGCATGAAAATTAACAATTAATTAGAGAAAAAATGCCGCAATTAATTGTTTTTGGTTTAATAACATTGAAAATGGTTTCATAGATTAATAACTTCTGTTGGTGAGGGGGTGGATAAACAGATACACTTTTGTTCATTGTTAATGGGAATAAAATCTGCCATAAACTTTGGGAGAGTTGTTAGAAACTACCTAATGAATATTAAATGTCTGTAGCCTTTTATCAAGAGATTCTAATTTTGGTAATCTTTTCTAAAAATACTTATTCCAAGAAATAAGATTTAAACATTCCCAAATTTGGAAGAGACAAACCTATTCGAGAAGTTAAATGAAACCATAAACAGGATAAAACTAAAGAAATTCACACAAAACACATCATAATAAAACATCTGAAAATTATCAACAAAGGAAAAAAAAACCTTGAAAGTAGCAAGAGAGGAATTTTTACTCCTTCCTAATGGGAATAAAAAAAATTGAATGACAATAAACCTCTCATCAGAAACCAAGTTGAAAAAAGGAAGTGACACATAATTTCTAAGAAATAAAACAAAAGTGCTGTCAACTTAGAAATCTATATCAAGGGATAATATCCTTCAGGGATGATGGAGAAAACAA